CTTTAAAAAAAGAAAATTATTATGACAATTATACATTTTAAAAGAAATTAGACAAATTTTTGAAAAATACAAGTTACCCACACTGACAAAATGGGAAACAGAAAATATGAAGAACTCTGTGTTCTTTAAAGAAATTAAATCTGTAACTACAAAATTTACCAAAGAAAACTCTAGGCCTAGGTGAATTCCCCAATGAATTCTATTACCTATTTAAGTAGGAAAAAAATAGCAATCTTACATAAGCTGTTTTAGAAAAGGAGAAAAATGGGATCACTTCTCAGTTCATTTTTTGGGGCCAGCATAACCAAGATATTAAATTTAAATATGAACATTACAAGAAAATAGAATTACATTTCAATATTCAGTATGAACCTAGATATAAAAATCATTAACAAAATAATAGCTACTAGCATCCTACAATAAATTAAAAAGCATAATGGCTCATGCACAAGCAAAGTTTCTTTATCCTGCAAATGCAAAGTAGCCTTATCATTAGAAAAATCAATGTAATTTACCACACTACCAGATTAAAGGAAGAAAATCAGTAATGCAAATAAAAGCATCTAACAAATTCTAAAATCTATTTATCATGAAAACTCTTAGCAGAGTAGTAACAGGAAATATTAGTAACAGTCAGTAATAGAAAAAAACTCCCCAACTTGAAAGAGGACATTTGAAGAACACATAGCTAACAGTATACTTAATGGTAAAATACTGAAGATTCTTCCTCTAGAATCAAGAACAAGTGAAGAATACCTTCTCTTACCATTTTAATTGAACACTATAATAGAAACATATATTCAGTGCATTAAGGCAAGAAAAGGAAATAAAAGGCATACAGATTTAGAAAGACAGAATCAAAGGTCTCTTTATTTACAGATGATACAACTGCAGTGGTAGAAAATTCTAAGAAATCTATAAAAACAGCTATGAGAATTAAAATCAAGATTTTCAATATCATGACATACAAAACCAGTATATAAAAGCTATACTATCAATCAACTAAAAATTCTATTTATCAAACCCCTACAAATCCAAAGAAAGATGTATAAGACCTCTACACTGAAAATTACAAAACACTGCTGAGAAAAATTAAAGATGACTTAAGTGAGAACTTTTTTTTTGGGGGGGGGTAAAAACTCAAAAGCTGATTCCAAAATTTTCTGTGGAACTATAATCAAACTAGAATAACAAAAACAAACTTGAAAGGAAGAATAAATTAAAGAACTTGCATTACATGACTTTGAGACTGACCATAAACCTACAGTAATCAAGGAGAGATTAGTAAAAGGACAAATATATCAAATACAGTCTATAGACTGACTGACATCACTATGACAATCCAACGGAGAAACTCAAAAAATGATACTGAGACAAGTGGATCCAAAATGAAAAACATGACCTTCCATTTTATAATACACAGAAAAACAGGCCTAACGATAAGAAAGAAAACCAACAGCTTCTAGAAGAAATCATAGAAGCATGACTTTAGAGAAGACACATGGAGCACTAACAAACAAAAATTTGAAAATTATATTTCATCCAAAATAAAAGCCTCTGTGCATCAAAAACATTATTAAGAAAAGGACCTACTAAGCCACACAGACTAGATAATATAAACAATCTATATATAGGATCAAGAACACACATAATTTTCTCTTTAAAAAGACACTTAACAAAATAAAATTATACAAATGGTCAAGAATCACATTTTTAAAAAACGTTCAATGTCTTTAGTCATCAGATAAATACAACCAATAACAACAACAAAATTCCAAAATCCAAGCCTACAATGGTACATCACTACAAACACAGTACACTATTGTAGTGATTCTCTGTGGAATGGTGACTTTGGCAATTCTGACACCCAAAAGTCATTTCTGATGTTACTTGCATCTAGGATGCTGCTAGTGACTTACAATTCACAGAACGCCCACACAGCAGGCGATCATCCTGCCCAAAACGTCAATGGTATCAAAACTGAGAAAATCTGATAAATGAAAATGAAAGATCCATAGCATCAAGTGTTGGCAAAGATGTAGAACAGGAACTCTGATGCATTACCAATATGGACATAAAGTGGTTCATCCAGCTTGGTGTTTGACAGATTGCTATCATGTTAAGTACAGATGACTTTTCATTGTCCAATTAAAGGTCAACATGTCTTACAAAGTTCTGCATGATTTAGAACAGTCTACTTTCCCAGCCTCATTTAATAATCAACTAATATACTAGAATAACTTACTAGTAGAAAAATCTCCAATAAAATCTATTTGATTTTATTCACAGAAATCTTAAGAATTCTGACACAGAATACACCTTAAGGCATTTCGTCTAACATTTTACCTATGGCAGTAATATTAGTATTTTTATAATGGTGAAACATCTAGTATTTCCCACAATGAATACTAATAGTTTCAGTAAAATATTACATATATTTGAAATAATCTAGAAAAACAACTAATGTTATATAAATAATGGTTCTTTACTCATTTGGAAACTGAAGATCTTATAGAGATACAGACATTGGTCTAATAAACATCACAATAATTTAGGGGCTGGAGTTGTGGCGCAGCAAGTTAACCCACTGCCTATAATGCCAGCATCCCATATTAGCAGTGGTTCAAGTTCCAGGTGCTCTACTTCCAATCCAGCTCCCTGTTAATGGACCTGGAAAAGCAGCAGCAAATAGCTCAGGGACTTGGGACCCTGCCAATAACGCAAGAAACCCAGATGGAGTTTCAGGCTCCTGGCTTCAGCCTGGCCCAGCCCCAGCTGTTGTGGCCATTTGGGGAGTGAGCCAATAGATATAAGATCTCTCACTCTCACTCTGTAACTCTGCCTCTCAGAGATAAATAACAGATAAATATTTTTTTAAGTGAATTTAGGGGCCGGTGCTGTGGTGCAGCGGATTAACGCCCTGGCCTGAAGCTCTGGCATCCCATAAGAGCACCGGTTCTATTCCCAGCTGCTCCTCTTCCCATCCAGTTTTCTGCTATGGCCTGGGATAGCAGAAGATGGCCCAACTTCTTGGGCCCCTGCACCCGCGTGGGAGACCCGGAGGAAGCTCCTGGCTCCTGGCTTCGGTTGTGCAGCTCCAGCCGTTGCAGTCATCTGGGGAGTGAACCATCGGACAGAAGATTTCTCTCTGCCTCTCCTCTCTCTGTGTAACTCTTTAAAATAAATAAATACATCTTTAAAAAAAAAAGTGAGTTTATTTTGGCACAAATAAAAAATCTGCGATTTAAGCACACAAAGAGTCTTCAAAAAGTTCATAGAAAATGCATATTATTAAAAACCTATGCTGGACTTCAAATATCTTGTACCAAATAAACTTATATTCCATTTTCCACGAACGTTTGAAAGTAAGCTCATATTTGTAATATACTTTATTTTAAAAAAGGCTGGAGCCAGTTGAAAAATTGTATAAATGGCCTAAATCAGCATGAGCCAATGGAAATACAAGTTATTAACGGAGGATACATATGCAATGTTAAAAAAGTAGGGGTGGTGTGAGGCAGTGGGTTAAGTTGCTGATTGAGACACCTGCATCCCACATTTGAGTGCTGATTCAAGTTCTGGCCACTCCATGCTTTCAATCAGTTTCCTGCTAGCATACCTGAAGACAGTAGTTGGAGGCCCAAGTGTCAGAGTTCTGCCACCCATGTGGGAAACCCAGTTCAGTTCCTGGCTTCTGGCTTTGTTCTCGCCTAGCCCTGGCAGTTACGGGTATTTGAGAAGTGAACGAGCAAATGGAAGATATTTGTTTCTCCCTTTCTGTCACTCTGCCTTTCACATAAATAAATAGATCTTTAAAAATAAGAAAATAGGGGCCGGTGCAGTGGCTCACTTGGTTAATCCTCCGCCTGCGGTGCCAGCATCCCATGTGGGCACCAGGTACTAGTCCCGGTTGCTCCTCCTCCAGTCCAGCTCTCTGCTGTGGCCTGGGAGTGCAGTGGAGGATGGCCCAAGTGCTTGGGCCCTGCACCCCATGGGAGACCAGGAGGAAGCATGCAGCTCCTGGCTTTGGATCCGTATAGTTCCGGCCATTGCGACCATTTGGGGAGTGAACCAACGGAAGGAAGACCTTTCTCTCTCTCTCTTTCTCTCTCACTGTCTAACTGTCAAATATAAAAAAATAAATAAATAAAAAGCAGGTATAAGAAATTTTGAAAATATACACAAATAAAACATACTTTGTGTATATAACAGCTGGTACATTTAAAATAATCATTTCAATATGTTATCAACATAAAAAAACTTTATATTAGTTTAGCTCTTTTTGTACTAAGTCTTCAAAATCTAGTGCATACTTGACACTTATAGCACATTTCAATTTGGACTATCCAGATTTCAAATGCTCAATAGGTACATTGGCTAGTGGTCACTGGATGCTAATACTATTTATTATGTAAAAACACTTTTAAGCATTTTAAATGGATTACTTCATTTAATTCTCCCTGAGGCACAAACACAAAGGAAAGTTACTTGATCAAGTTCCCACAGACAGTGCAGTTCAGAATTCTAACTCAATCAGCCTGAATAGCTCTGCTCCTAACCATAACGCTGTCCTACCTCAAATCACATGTTTTTTTGAATATTACTGAAATTTTCAATTAAATCAAATTAATACCATGATTCCTGCTGTGATAAAAATTTTTAAGAGATTTATTTATTTGAAAGGCAGAGTTACAGAGAAGGAGAGACAGGAGAAAGAGACCTTCTACCTGCTGCCTCATACCCTCAATGGCAGCAATGGTCAGGGCTGAGTCAAGTCCAAGGCCAGGGGCCTGGAACTCTATTTGGGTCTCCCCTGGTGTACTAGCAGGGAGCTGGATCAGAACCGGAGCAGCTGGGACATAACTGGTGTCCACAGCTTAAACACTGTGCAACAACATCAGCCCTATGTGATAACTAATTTTTGAAAACTAAATTTCCAGTCATAGTTAAAAACCAATTTTCCTGCCATGACTGAAAAGAAAAAGAAAGAAAAGACTCACCTTCAATATGAGTTTCTGATACTTCTGTTTTAGGTCTGACACATTCTCAGAGGGGTCGGCCCCCAGAATGCTATACCAATCCTTTTTTGGTGTCTGTTCAAATGCCATCCTCCATTGTAGCAGAAGGGAGCCTTCTCAGATCTGCTGAATCGAAATATTAATGAGAGGTGATTAGAGTTTGCATATATCTAAGAATAATCATGTAGTAAGTGCTTTACTAGGTAGTTAAATAATGATAAGAATGTGAACCTGAGGGAACATATTTTCATTTAAAACACTTCAAGAAACCATGTGTAAGTATACAGACAAGTCTGGAAAATCAGATATTCACAAGATATGCTTATCTCTCATGAATGAACAGCATAAAAATACAATTTGATAATGAATCGGATGGTGCCGGTCTTACGGTAAAACCGACACAAAAGTAAGCACTAACATCGTTAGAGCTTAATAAAAATTCACAAAATGAATGAATAAAGAACCAGAATGAATTTGAGAACATTCCGTCTAATTTTTTTTCACTCCTTACTGATTACCTGGAAAGGATAATAATAAAATAATGCCAGCACGAGCAGAGAGCAAGAGTTCCCTTGCTGTACTCTGAGATCTCGCCAAACAGCCCCGAAACTGTCCACGCGAGGATGTCGCAGCCCTCCAAGCTAGAGAGAGCCCCGCCAGGAACACCATAAACCTCTTCGCACATCTGCACACTGAGGCAGACAGCAGTGGCTAGGGAATTCACTGTATTCACAGTTGGCTCTACCCTCTCAGCTACAGGAGGGGTCCCTCTTCGGGCTGCCTCTGTCAGGCGACTTACCAAACTTCCCATCACCACCGGCTCTCTCTGGGTGACTACAGTCCGGCAGGACTCGGAACCAGCTTCTTTTTCCGCCGGAAGTCATTGCTCTGACGCGACCACGTTTCTAGTCGAGCCTTAGTGGCAGACGCACCGAGCGGAAGCGCAGCTCCTTCCACCGGGACGCGGTCACTATGGTAACCAGTCACCGCTTCTTGGAGTTTACCAGCAGAAAGTGCTGCGAGCTGTGGAGAAAGGCGTCGCTCGCCTGACTCTCCCTCTCCGTGGTCCCTGCCCTGCGACTAGCGAGTCTCTCATCCTCAGCGTGTATCCTTCCCCGAAACCTCAAATCCCAGGTTTTCTCCAGCTTTCTCAAAATTCCCTCCGCTTACTATGCGCTGTGCCCATTCCTACGGCTAGTGCTTATACTGTGGTGGTAAGGTGTGAGAAGTAGAAGTAGTGATTCCACCCTCTTCTCTGTCCACTTCTCTTTAGAATGTTCTCATTCGAAAATTCAGAGAAGCAAAGAGCTTCAAAAAGCTCTATGCTAAATAGGGTTGGGTTTTGTGGAGACTCCCCCCTCCCCCGGTGTAGTGGTTCTTTTCTGCGAAATATGTTAGGAACCAACTTAAAAAAATAAACACTTGCTTTCAAAATCCTCTCACATTTTCGGACTTGGCTTTCCGCTCAAGCCGGTGAGACTAGTAAGGCAGGTGTTCTCACGATGTAGATGAGGACACAAGGGTTCCAGGCTAAATAGCTAACTGGGTAGCGGCAGAGCCAGGACTCTTAGCAATTCGGTTATTCCCCGGGCAGATAAGCCAACTTGCAAATTTACAGAAAAAGCGGGGGGAAATGCTTCTCTTTGAAGCAGTTGCGAGGGCACTCCAAGTGGGCATTGTTTACTGGTGGTACTGGGAGGAGTTGTTGATAGTTTTGTTACTTTTTGCTCTTGTCTCTCCCTTTCTTCTTTCGTCTCTTATCGGTACTACTCACTATACTTCCTGAACTGTACCCAGGGGGTGAAACTGCACCTTATTTTTGCTTTAAACAGCCTGACATAAATTTTACTTAGAGATATTGAAGTGGTTTTGTGGTTGTGACTGCTTTGTTTTTCTTCTCTTTAATCTTTTTACTACGTCTGTTTGAGAAGCAGTCAAGGTAAACTTAGAAACAATCGGTGAAATATTCTAACACGGTTAATTATTTAATGATAGTATGAACTATAGAAAACTGGATGATACAGGCAAGTTAAAACATCTAAAGAAAAAAATAGAGTAGGTTCTCCACAGGATTTTGTCAGGTTTAAAGGCAGACACAAAAAACATACACTGATAGCAGATCTAGTTTTATTCCTTGCTTCAGCCTACCTTCTCTGTGACCCTCTGGAAATACCTCCAGCAGTAGAATTAAATGCTGTTAGGATCACCTTCCTGTGTGATACTATCAGAATGGTGCCCTTTGAACTTCCCTAGACCTCAAACTTTCCCTTTTGCACTGCCTGCTTCTTCCTTGTGTAGACAGGTATGATTAGGTACCCTTGTTTTTACAGTAAAGGCACTTTATTTTGATTTACTATTCCTTTAGCTTATTGTGCTATCTCTTGTATTTGTTTATTTGGGTTTGAAAGATAAGAAATGTACTCCCTCCCAGCAAATCCAAAATGTTCACTCAATCTGTCTTTACATACTTTAGTTTGCAATTTTAAGCATACAATTTTTTTCTTATATCTTCATACTGTCATTATTTAAACAAAACTATCAATACTTCACTGACTTTCCCAGTTGATTCAAAAGTATCTTTCTGTGGTTGATTTGTTCAAATCAGTATCCAGATAAAGTACTTTGTGCATTTGGTTTGTTCCTTAAATATCTTTTAAAGTACATCACTCTTAAATTTTTGGCTGTAATAACCTCAAATTTTCCCCCTATTCTTGCCGTAGGCTATTGAGAAACTGGATCAATTTTCTTAAATCTAAATGTTTATCTATTTATACCTAAGTAAATTTCCTTTTTAAGATGTTTATTTTAAAGGCAGTGTGACTGGGGTTGGGAGGGGAAGAGAGTGAGAGAGAATATCTTCCACCCCACCCCACTGGTTCACACCCCAATAGCCAGGTCTGGGCCAGGGCGAAGCCAGGAGCAAGGAACTCCATCCTGGTCTCCCATGTGGGCGGCAGGGACCAACATCCACTGCCTTCCCAGGCTCATTAGCAGGAAATTAGATTGCAAGAACAACAGGAACTCAAACCAGCCCTCCAGTATGGATGCCAGTGGCTCAAGTGACGGCTTAACACACTATGCCACAATGTCAGTCCTCAGAATAAACTTCTTAAAGCAATTTTTGTACAAGTTCCTTACTTTTCCTTTGGTTTTCTTTATCTAGAGCAGCACTGTCCAATAGAAACATAATGTAAGGGCATGCATTGTGGCACAGCAGGTTAAGCCTCTGCTTAGTACTCCCGCGTTCTGTATTGGAGTGCCTGGAATTGAGTCCCACCTTCGCTGCCTATCCAGCTTCCTGCTAATGGGCACCCCGGAATGCAGTCGATGATGGCTCAAGTTCTTGTATCTCAGCCAATTTTGTAGAAGACCAGGATGGATATCCTGGCTCCTGCTCGTCATAGCCCAGGCTATTGTGGGAATTTGGGGAATGAAACAGTGGATGAAAAGTCCCTCCCCACCAAGCCTTTCAAATAACTAAAAATAAATAAATGTTTAAAAACTGAACTTTAATAAAAAGAAACATAATTTAAGCTACAAGTGTGAGTCATGTGTGAGTTTGAATTTTCCAGTAGCCACACTAGGAACATAAAAAGAAACAGGTAAAATTAATTTAATAATATGTTTTATTCAATCCAATATATCCAGAATATTATCATTTCAAATTATAATTAATGTAAAGTTATTGATGAAATATTTTACACTCATTTTTCCTATTCAGTCTTCAAAAGCTGATGTGCATTTTGCCTGCAAAAGCACATCTCAATTCTAGCCACAAGCGGCTGCTCTAGTGAGCACGGCAGGTCTAAAGAATAAACTAACTCCTTACTTCCCAAAGGTCATCTTTAGTTTCCCAGCCTATCACCTATTACCTCTCTAAATAAAAAGTTTAGACAACTGGAATTTTTTTGGTGCTTCATTCATAATTTTGTTCAAAAGTGTCCCCTTACTCCTAACACCGTAGCTCCTTTCCTTCTCGTATCAGTTGTATCCCTCCTTTATAAAGGGTCACTTCCATCAAGCCTTGCGTGATGGCCTGGTCACTAGAAATTACTTCTTCCTCACAACGTTCATAGCAGGGCCCATATACTCCTCATTTGCATTCATCTCGTATCTCTGTGCATTGTCGTCTTTAGGTGTATAAGTATGTTGATTGCTGAACTTTCTGAGGGTAGGAACACCTCTCACCACAGAAACTAAAAACTGGCTTTCTTGTCTCATCCTCTGCAGTTCAGATGATGTCTGTCTATGATAAATTTGTTTCTCATTATCTTATTATCAGAAGGTAATTTATCTATTTTATGTGAAACTAACATAGCAAAAATGTAAATTTTGTTAGCATGGAGATTAAGAGCATGAAATCAAGTCGGACATAGGCTCAGTCCAGGTTCTCTGCCTCTTACTGGCTCCGTGAACTTTAAGTTAATTAATCTCTGTACTTCACTTCTGCCTCTGATGTGGGAATAATAATAGTATCTGCCTCAAGGAATTTTTGAGAATTAAATGAGATAATTATACTTAAAAGTAGTACTCAGTGGAGATTATTGTTATTATCATTAAAATGGAATAGTTATTCAGTTTTGATATATTAGAATATTCAGCATTCACACTTGTATTTTAGGAATTTCCAAAGGCAAATGAAAATCTACTAGATTGGAAGAATAAATCAAATTCAAATATTTATTGAATTATATACTTTCAGTTTCACTGAAGGATAAATTTAAAGAATAGGCAAATCCTTTTAATTCATGTCGTTAACATCTAGCATATGCAAGGTAGGCATGTTTTAAACATTTGATTTCTTTAAATGTACAAGTATTGTTGATTCCCAGACTTTCCAAGGACTGGAACACCTCTCACCACAGAGACACTAAAAACAATCCCATCTCCCACATGGACTGAAGCAGAGCTGAGACACCAACTCAGGCACTAGGTTATAAGTTATGGGTGGCCCAAGTGTAGCTTAATTGCTCTGCCAAATGCCTGCCCCAATCAACAAATATTTGTTGTCTCTACTATGTGCCCCATACTCTTAGTTATAAGACACACAAGACAGAGTTGGCTGCAGCACTCTCAGAAGTGTTTAGAGTTTATCTGGGTAGACAGACATTTAAAGAAGACAATGAAATAACTAGAAAATGCTGGGCCAGGGAAATACCAGCTGCTGTGACTTTCAAAGTTGCAGGTTTGCCAGTAGAATAGATCACTCAAATGATTCAAATCCTTGAATCAAGGTGAAGCCAATCCAAGAGCATGTGTGGAAGTGTTAAATTTTAAATAATAATTTAATTTGGAGCGAGATGGATGACTAGAAGTAGAGCAACTCCCTTTTGTCTTTTTTTTTTTTTTGGCAGATTATCGTAAAGCTTTAGACAATATTGAGAATCAGCTCTGGTGAACAATCATGCTTCATCTTTTGGAAATGGTTTTGTTCTTGTGTTTTCCCTTTTTGATTGTCATGATAGGGTCTATTTTCTCCTTTGTCTTTTCAGCCAGCAACTATGAACATTCATTGATCCTGTACAAGGCAGTCCACTTATCAGGGAGACTTTGAGGTAAATACTTTTGGGGAGTATATCTGCTGCTGTGTTTTCTTGCTTGTTTAGCTTCAGCTGTGTCAATGCTCCTTCAAACTTGTTTCAGACCTCTGGAAGGTTTTTATTTTATCTGAGATTTTTGTTCCTGTATTACTCTGCTCTTCACACCTGGTGTTTTGATATTCTGTGACTGTTAAAGACATGATATATAATCTAACTTCAGATTTTCTTTAGCACTCATAATAAATACTAACTTATTTTTTTCCCATTTACTTCTTAAGCCCTTTCAACTTTGTTCTTGTGACCACTAAGGCTTTTCTGTGCACTTTCTAATTAATCTGAAATTCGTTATGATCCCTTTCAATCATGTGGGAAGACACGTTTATATGCT